CATGGGGTTTTGGAAAACAATGTGTAGGTTTTGCATAAACAACGATGAAAACCGGGCAAATCCACATCGCTACTGTGCCCATCCAGCCACAACTCACAAAATCCTCCTCCGTCATATGCTCGATGTACAGCGAGTCGATCTGTCCTGGAATAGGAAGGCGACATAGAAGTTGACGGCTGTGACGGCCAGCGAATAGGTGTGGTTAACGATCATCTGAAATTCGCGTCAAACCGGATGCGTAGAAGTGTTTCGAAATCTTTTCCACCGAGTTTACCTGCTTGGCCAGCTTATGATCGGCACGACTTTTGCCGGGATCATGCCTTGAGGTGGCGAGATTTTTCTTCTGAAACTTGTTGTTATGAATTTGAGATTATAAAATCGGGTTTAAGCAGAGATTTTTAACATAAAATGGTTATTAAAAAGCTGCTAATGACTAACGCACCAGATGCTGTCGTATCAAGAAAAACGTCATGACATCGGAAAATAGGGCGCCCAACGTGAGGCAATTTGCTAACATGCGAAGCTTAAACATCATGTCCCGGAGGATATTTGCTCCAAATTCGGATGTGATCAGGGCGTAGCTGTGTGCCTCGAAGAACACGATCAATTCCACTGGAAATTTACAGTTGCCTTCCTAAATCAATCAACTGACTCGTCATATAATAAATGGCGGTGACTGGTATCGTCCACACCGCCAATAGCTGATGCAGCTTCGTGGAGCTCACCAACTCTGAGTAGCGTCCTGAAATTTTAGGTTTTCCACAATGGAATAGATGTTTTCTCTCTCTCTCTCCTTCTGTCTGTATCTCTTGTTGTCTCTCTCTCTCTCTCTCTCTCTCTCTCCCTCTCTCTCTTTCTGTCTGTATCTCTTGTTGTCTCTCTCTCTTTTTCTGTCTGTATCTCTTGTTCTCTCTCTCTCTCTCTCTCTCTCTCTCTCTCTCCCTCTCTTTCTGTCTGTATCTCTTGTTGTCTCTCTCTCTCTTTCTCTCTCTCGCTCTCTTTCATTACCTTCAAAAGCCAGTGCCGCCAAACGATTAATCGAGACACCGAGTTGCACTATTTCGATAGCGTGCTGAGTACAAAGGAAAATGATACCTGAAGGTGCGGTAAAATACGTAATGGTGCTAAATTATATAAACTCATATTTTAAAATTGCCATGGCAATTTAAAATTTATTAGTGTTTCATAAATATGCTGTAAGCAACGCTACGATTCGCTTACCAAGCGCCAAGTTCAGCTGCGCTCCAAACTGGACCTGCGCTTCGCAGATACTACGGTGTTTCCGATGAATGTAATAGCCATATGGTTCCTGATCGCTCACGCGGGCATATCTGCAAGAGAAACTATCACAAAAAGGCTAGTATTACTGTTCCTAGATCTCGCTGTTTCTCTCTATCTCGCACGCTATCTCTCTCGTTCACTCACTCTCTCTTTCTCGCTCTAAAGTGTTTGGGAAGGGCTTTTAAAACCAACAAGTTCGGCTCGGCATCCGTCCTTATAAACGTGCATGCGCCCGGATAGAATAAGATGAGCGACTGGCCAATCCGTGCCAAATGTTCCATACAAAGATAGGTGGCAACCAGGAAGGAAAGGTGCTGATTCCGCTTCACAACTATCAACGCACCAATGTTGGAGAGGATTGAGATAAAGCCGAACTGGAATTTGGTCTTTCTAAGCCTCGTTGAAAACACTAAAAATAAGCTAGGGCATTTCTGTATTCTGTATTCAGTTTCGTACTTTTTAGGCTGTATTGACTTACCACAAATACCGAATAAAAGACGAACCAATCCCGAAAATTCATATCCTCGAAGAACACGTATTTTGCTATTTTCACTTTTGCCATCGGGTCTAGAAAACAATCAATCAATTACAAATTCAGCTGCCGGCACCTTAAAGACTTTTCCAATAGAAAAACATATTACCTTACAAGGAGTCGCTTTTAGGTGCTTTTGGAGTTTCGGGACGGGACCTAGCTAGTTAGATAGAGAAAAAAAATTTGAGCAACATCCCGTTTTCAAAAAGTGCTGATCGATAAAGCTGTTTTAGAAAATTTAATTTAATTAAAAATATTCCCGGTGTCCGGACCCTTGTGGTGATTTGAGGTTATTTGCGGCGGTTGACCGCCCCCGCCACATGAGGACTCCACGCGCCTTGGATCCCGTCCTAGGCATGGCCAAGTGGCTAGTGCGAAGGCTTACGAATTTTTTTTGACCTTTTGCCACAAGTTCGATTCTTATTTATCGTTAACTCTTCGCTTTTTTGCTAATTAAAATTTTATGCACCGATAACGGGCTCAAGAACCAAAAGGCAAAGGGTTAGCGAGCGCGAAGATTCGAACCCGAGACAAAAAAAATCTTAAAAATTTGGTAGGCAAGCGCGCTACCAATACGCCAATGCAACCTGTGATGCAGGCATTGGCGGAGGGTTACCAATGGCGCCCTGCCCAGCCCCGAAAACGACGTGCACCGAGGAAATGGACCCGAAAACTAGAAAAAAGCGCGAACTTTAAATTAAATTTTCTAAAACAGCTTTATCGATCAGCACTTTTTGAAAACGGGATGTTGCTCAGAATTTTTTCTCTATCGAACTAGCTAAGTCCCGTCCCGAAACTCCAAAAACACCTAAAAGCGACTCCTTGTTAGTGAATGGCATGACCTATAAAAGCCGAAGGGCCATAAATTTTTCATTTCCGCCGCCAGATTGGTCTGTCCCCCATTGAACAATCAGATTTTACGGGGGTTGCCTGCCAGTGACAGTTACTCTAATTTTTGGGAGATTGTAGTTGTAATTTTTGCAACAGAAATGGTAAGATAGTGCTTAACATTAAGGGAAAATTGTTTTATTCAATTTTTGCTCTCTAATTTGTTTCATTTTATTGATTTTGAATTTTTTTGGCTAACTTTAGTGATTTAAATTTAACTAGAAAAATTCTCAAAAAGTACCAGATTTTTAGTTCCTCAATTCCGTGGCAATACCCCCATCCTGTTCGCCGTAGGATGGTCTCTGATTTTCGAACTTCCCCTGCAAAACATTACGACTTTTTGCGATGCGGAACTGTTTACAGATTTTCTATATAAACAATGAAGCGGCTTCTCCGAGCGGACCCACCCCATTTGTGTCCCCACCACCACCTGCCATGAAACGTGTAATAATCCTCTGCCTGGCTACCGTAGCCCTTGCCTCATTTCCGGATCTAGCTGAGGTTTTGTCGGTCGATAAGAATGGGATGGTTGAGGTGGGCATTAAGGGGATTGAAAAGATTGATTACCTAGGAGGAGCCGGAAAGGACCCATTGCGGCACCTTATTGGTTTTGTAGATATAACTTTTTCAGTGTTTATATTTTATGTGCGTCTTCTTCTTAGTTTCATCGCGTAGTCAATTGCAATAGCTGCAAGACCTTAAATTCCGACCGCCGTACGTGTCGCGCTTGTGTGGTAAAATACCTAATATAACTTCAGAATTGAAGCTTCGATTAACAATAAGCGTAAGGGTTCGAATTCATCGTCACTTCTGAAGGTTCCTCCAACTAATCACAACTTCGTCATCTTCAGGTCGAAATCCCGCTCGGCCCGGCCACCGCGAGGAGGAGACAGCCTTTTACCGATTATTCCAAGAAAGATCAAGAAAGTGGGTGTTCCGATGTAATGTAGGCTGTCAAAACCGAGAACTTTTTAGACGACTTGGGAAAATGGTAGCTTAAAAGCCGAATTTTTTATTTTAGGGCTAATGAAGATTTGCGGGCACTCCGATGGGAAACCTTGCATTGCCCCCCAATGCGTAAGTTCTTTCAATTTCAATTTTAAATTTTAAGTCTTTTTCCAAGAAAATCTATTAATGCGCCAGTTCTGGTAAATCTATCTCTCCTTCAGGTGATTGTCCAAACCAAGGAGGTGCAGCGTGAAAAATGGGTCCCGGTTCTGATTGGTGAAGCTTTCCCGAAACCCGCAGACAGTCGTTCGTGCCGAGCTTCTCATAAGATGGCCACCCCCTAAGGAATTTTTTTTAATTTTTGGTAATAAATTTTTTTTATAATCCGTGTCCTTTCTCATCGATTAAGGTAGTGTTATCTCTTTGCCAACTGTCACTCTTTTTTCAAAGTTACGGTAAATTTATTGCTAGGTACTTTAGTTTGAGGAACACGTTGAGATCTTGATGAGGCGCGCAACGCGCCTGGCGGAATTGTCATTGCGTAATGGGTTACCGGGCTTTTCCAGTTGCGCGTTGCCTGTGGCGCGTTGAGTATGGCGCACCTTTTCACATACGCAAAGTCGGCGATACGCAATCACCGTTTAATCGCGGTTGAATGCTGCCATTCCAGAGGCAAGGCTCAAGCATCCGACGGTGTACCGGCGTAGGCGTTGCGCATCGCGGGTGCGGAAGTCCCTTAGGAAATCCATAATCAGCCAAATCTATGGAACTGCGGCAGTAGCTTCTGGCTTCTTTAAAAATGTCGAAGATGCTAATGTCGTAACTCATCATGTCGCCATTTTGTGCAACTGATTTGGGGCTTCCGGAACATTCGCCTATGTAAACTTCGACATATTTATATTCGTAATAATGAAATTTCGACATGATGATAGCAAATCCTAGCTTCTCGGTCCCTTTAAAATAATTTATCGGCCCCTAGGCCTCGTGTTTTGGACCATCCGTCTCCCGCCTGGTCTCCAATTTCCGTAAATAGCTCCCTGCAGCGAACAGTTTCCAGTTGCGAACGAGACTGAAACTTTTGAAGTGGCCCAAGGGGCTGCACAGTGATCCCCGATCCCCCCATAATGAGAAGATGAGAGAGTTCGAGCCGGGGGCTGATCGTAAATATTTGCCCATTTCAAGCCCCGAGGGGGGACAGCTTCTAGCCCTGATAAGACCGTTTGCGAATCCGGAGTCGCCCCCGGGGTCATTTGACGCCTAGGGAATCCTGAAAATTCTTTAAAAATAACCGCCAGTTTCCGCAATCATCGTTTTTTCTGCAAACAACTTTTGTGATGCAATCCTGATCTGGGGGTGGTGACGTAATCGTGATATGGTTAGCATTGTGGGCTCTTTCGCATTATCGGGGGAGGGCGGGGCCTGAATAGGTCTGGAAATACTGGGTAACTTAATTGGTAATATTTTAATAAAACTCTAATAATAGCAAAATTGCAAAATTGAATGGAGGTCAATTCACTCAATTGACTGCAACCATGTGATTCATATAAAAACCATTGAATTATAAACATCGTCGCTTTCCCTGAAAACTTGAAAAGGACAAAACCCCGTAGGCGTCGCGGGATTTATTTTAAGAAAGCCCAATTTTCACGCCTCCCCGGCGCAAATTATTTAGACAGCCAGACACGCAAATAGGCGATTTGTTTTGCTTTGTTTTTCTAGCCCGAGCTGCAGTGATTTATGGAAGGGCTCTGTAACGATTTTTTTTACTGAATAACAATTTTCGCTCGTCGTGAATCGATTCTTGCGGTCGTTTTCATGTTAGTAAACATTTTAAAGCTTTTGAAAGCTGGAAAACTAAGCCAAATTCGCTAATTTCAAAATGAAAAATGTGATTTTGAGCTTCCCTATTTATTTGGAAGCCGAGACGCATTTTCGGAGTTGTCTTATTCGAAAAATTAGTAAGTTAATGTTTTCATTATTATATCAACAAGACAATCTCAAATTAGTAAATAAGCGTAAAAATTCCGGATCCCAAATGGCTATTAGGAGTTTAATTGAGTCCCCTCGTGTGCGAACCCATTAGCCGATCCCAATCTCGACCGGGCGCATTTCTTTCGCGGACTTGCCATTATGGAGGGATCCAATTGGCTGTCGGATCTGTTCGTGCTCTCTCTCTCTCTCTCTCTCTCTCTTTCTCTCACTCTCTCTCTCTCTCTCGTTCTCTCGCTCTCGCTCTCCCTGCGCTCTTTCACTGTCTCTCTCTCTCTCGCCACTCCCTATATCTCTCGCGCTCTCTCTCACTTTCGCTCTCTCTCTCTCTCTCGCTCTCGCGCTCGCTCTCTCTCTCCCGAAAGTTCGTTCCTCAAGTGTGAGCTACCAACACAAAAACGTGGATTCTAGCTAGCAAGGTTATGCGGTGTTGGCTGTCGATAGGAATATTTCTATACTCTGCCACTACCACCTTTGGATGGTTTTACGGAAGGGATGAGCCGGATGCATGGACACAAGGAGGCGTCTTTCCGCTACCAGCGTTGATTAAATATGGCCACGTAAGTCACATCATTATTACCTTTTAGACACAAAATTAACGTCGTGTTTCCTAAGTATATTTTTTGTTTCATATAGCAAAATATACG